TCCCTTCCCTTCCCTTCCCTTCCCTTCCCTTCCCTTCCCTATATATTTAAGGAAGAATGTCCATGTTGAAGCTGTTCTGTGTCATTCTCTTTCTCCTCAGATAGCCAGCACCAGCTCAGTTGAATCAATGCCAGGAGCAGATGGTGGTGGTGCATTAGGAGGGGTGAGTAATTTGAAGCTAATACTTTAGTCAGAGCTGTGTTGGGAGGTGGGTTATGTTTATAGCAGGAAAAAATAATCATACTTCAATATAGGTTTTATAGAGTTTATATCTTGCTGTCTGTGGCCTCAGCTGTGCTGTCATTAGTTTCCTGGCTAAGTTATACCCACAGCTAGTTGCCATTTGCAGCATCAAGGAATTTGAATCCTGCTCAGATGTGTCATGAAAACCAGGAAATAAACTCTTCTACCAATTTGCTGGGTTAGAAAGTTGACATTACTTTACTAACAGTGCTGGATGTGAGGGGGTTTCTCCTCAAAGCATGAATAGACTTCTTAGAGCAATATAACTCCTTCGGTAGTAGATGCATGCTGCACACATATCAGAGTTGATTCCTTCAGTTTGTAGCACTGGGTTTGGAGAGGGGGAGATTTGTGTGGGCATTTTTTTGTTTCTTTGTTGTTTTTTTGGGATTTTTGGTGATGTTTTTTTTTGTTTGTTTGGCTTTGTGTGCATGTATTTAAATTGTGATAGCGAGCTACACTGATTGAAGGGAGAAGGGCAAAAAGATACCAGGAGATCTATCTGATTAATGCTGTTGCATTGTATAACTCAGGATTTCATTCCAGAACCACATTTTGAATAACACTTCTTCCACAGTATGCTTTCCATGTTTCTGCGAATGCAGAGGAAGAGATGATAGTACTTTTGTATGTCTCTGGCCTGTTAAACATTGGCTGCCATGAAAGCAAAATATACTTTCAAGATATTATTCATTTTGCTCAGTAAAATGGCTATAACTGCTGCTGAATCAAATCAAGGGTTCAAGTTCTTAATAAGGTCTATTTTTTATTGTTCTTATCTCTCTCTTCTAGAATAAAAGATTTTCAGGAAATGCCTAGGGTTAGTTGAATTTACTAAAAATGAGCCTCGACAAGAACAACCAACCACCAAAAATACCCTTACCTGTAGAGACATGCTGTAGGATGTTATGTATTAGCATGATGATTTTAGGAACTAAGGAGCCATTTAGCAGCACCTCCAGACCTCTGGCCAAGCTTGGAACCTTCTGATAGAGTGCACAGTGTCAATGCAAAGCTGTTAAACAAGCCAGCAACCTGACTGTAAAAAAAACCAAGTTATAAGAGTTTGTGATTAGTGTACTCCTTGCTGGTTATTTTTTTGTCTTCACTTAATATTTTCACTTAACAATTTTTACTTTATTTACAGTCAGTTTTGTGATTAGTGTTTTGTGCCTTGTGTTGCAGATGCTGTATTTAGTGAACTACTTAGAAAAAAATATATTTTAAAGTATTAAAAGCCCCCAAGCCTACATAAAAATTTTGGGTGGTCTTAAGTACATAGATTTTATTGGTAATTAAATAAAAAATTTGTATCTTTTTAGTTGATTATAAATTGTTGTGTCAGTGATTTACATATGATAGCATATACTGATATGTTAAGTAATTTTCCTTAAATCATGTATTTAAAGAAAAATTTAATTCCTGACATAGAAAAAAAAGTGGAGTTGATCAAAAAGACAAAAATACCCCAGTTTTTTAGCATTGATTCTGGGCTCTAATTTTGCTAAAAATGAATAATATCAAGAGAATAATGAATAAAAATGTTAGTTGCAGCTTCAGAAAATATGAATTTTTGGTGCTGGCATCCCTTTAGGCAGCTCAGTGAGAGCACAAGCAATACATTGTGTGGTCAGTCGGTGGTAGTGGTGGCCAGCTCTACACTGGGCGCTCCTTCCTGTGCCTCCCCAGCCTGCCTGAGAGGCTTCTGGCATTTTCCTCAGCTTCTCGTTCACGCTTGCATAACCAGACAATGAAGTCCTGCTGCAGGAAGGATCATCTGCTTGTCTATTGCATCATGGTACCTCTTTGCTGAATTCTCTTGCTGCTCTGTACTGCTAGTGCAGGTTATGCTCAGACTTCTGTATTCAGGAGGAAATGTGAGCCTGTGTTTAAAATGTCTTATACATAATCTTGCCAATATAATGTTGGCATGCAGAGAAACAAACTAAAAGATACAAAGTACAAAATCTGTTATATAATTTAAAATTATTTTTCACTTATAGTTAGCATTTCCAGAAACACTTGCTGATTGCAACCCCATTGTGGGTTGCTCCAGGTAGTTAATTTATAAATGGAAAATACACCTGTAAGAAAATAATGAGAAGGAAAAGAATTGAAACTGCTTTGTAGCTCATGTGTCTGCTCATGTTAGAGTCTCATCAGACTGTATTTATGGGTCACATGAACAACATTGGGGCTGAATTTCTACCTGCTGGCCCAGACAATGAAATACCTGGCACAGAGCAGCTGTGGCTGCCCCTGGATCCCTGGAAGTGTCCAAGGCCAGGTTGGACAGGGCTTGGAGCAGCCTGGGACAGGGGAAGGTGTCCCTGCCATGGCAGGGTGGGACTGGATGGACTTTGAGGTCACTTCCACCCCAGACCATTCTGGGACTGTGTGATTCTCCAACTGTACAGCAAGTAATAAAAAATGGTAACAGCAGCCTCCTAAGCCCCCTGCTTCCCTTGCTGCTCCTACCAGCTTTTTGGTGATTCTCCCCTGCATTTCAGAAGCAAATGGAGGCTGCATAGTTCACTAAGTTCAAGATGTCTGCTCACCTAAGGCCTGCCACAGGCCTTCATCTTGCAGTCACATGAGTTGTACCTCTTGCTGGGATATATGCTATTTTTCCACCAAAATTTTAAAATTCAAGGAAACTGTCAAGATTTAGAGAGTTAAAGCAGTAGAGTAAAAGCAAATTAGCAGTCAAAACAGCCTAGTCTGAAAGAAGTAGATCCTGGCTCTGAACAGATTTTATGTGAGTGTTTTTTCCTGTCAGACTTAGCAGCTTCAAAACAGAGTTGGGTGTATTGAGAAAGGTGAGAAATATGGCAATTATTCAAGCTTATTATTATCAAGATGCTGAAGCAAGGGTAGCTCTGTGTTAGCACCTCCTTTAAAAGGCATCAGCAGTAAATAAAATAGCTTGTGTAATAAATGACACAGATGCAAAGTGACTGTTGAATTTATCTAGGATGAACAATGTGAGTTACAATGCATATCCTTGTTTGCTACAAAAGACCCTTTGTTCAGACCATGTGTTATGAGTCTGTGGTAAAGTCACCTGAGCCATCACTGGTGGCATGAGGGCACTGCCAGTGCCTCATCTTTTTCACAGGAATGGAAAGGGATTTTTTAAAAATTCTTTTTCAGTGTCAGTAGTTAAATAACATTTTGTTGAAAAAGTCTTTCTTTTATAATAGCTCTCTGGAATTTGCCAAGTAATAAAGACTTTTTCATTTTTATTATTTTTTTCTGCAGCTACAATGCCATGTTTCAAACTCTTCTGTTCTCACTGTATTCTGACAATATTGAGAAATACTCTGAAATGTTGCTGGCATTCTTCAAACACTTAAAGACATCTTTATACGACATGTTGTATTTTTGTGATCTGCATGTTGGCATGTTAATCATAGAATCATGGAATGGTTTGGGATGAAAGGGACCCTAAAGATCATCTCATTCCAAGCTCCACCATGAGCAGGAACGCTTTCCACTGGGCCAGGTTGCTCAGAGCTGAATCCAACCTGGCTTTAAACACCTCCAGGCATGGGAAGTCCAGTTTATGCTGGATCCAGTAATGATATTCAATTTATCAGGAAATTGTGCAATAAGGTTTGCTGAGTGACTTTAGTTATTGGCTTGGATTTAGAGGCTAACCTTGCCTGGCCACCTAGACAGCAGGTCCCAGAGAGGGCAGGTCCCTGGCAGAGGTGTCCCTGCCTTCCTGAGGAGCCTTATGGTTCATGTTGTGCTGGGAGGGAGACTAAGGAAACTTCTAAATTAAGCATTTGAAGTTGGGTGGTGCAAAGTCCACTCCTAATACCATTTCCTTCTTCAGTCAAGCCATTTTCCCCTAAATCTTCACATCTCCTTCCCACCAAGAGAGGGAAGTTTACAGCACACTCACAAAGTCAACGTGCACCTTGAAAAAGGAAGGGATGAGTGCTGGAAGGGAAGTTTTCTTGAGATGCACACCTTGGCCATTCCTCCACCTCTGCGCTGACAGACAGGGAGAGGAGATTGCTCCATGGTGGTAAGGAGATGAGTGGGCAGAGAGGGGCTGAGACCACATTACGTCCTCCCGAGACGCCTGATGGTTGAGCCAGCCCTCCAGCTGAGGCAAGCAGCAGAGCCATGCAAATTCTTTCCCAAAATGGTGTGAACCCCAAAGAGGATCTGCGAACAATGTTGCCATTATTTTTTAATCACATAATTGTACTTTTAATTTCAGAGTGATTCCTCTAGGAAATCTTCGAAATCCAAGCGAGACAAAGAGAAACAGTCTTGTAAGAGCTGCAGCGAGAGCTTCAACTCCATCACAAAGAGGCGGCACCATTGTAAGCAGTGTGGGGCTGTAAGTATCCCAGCACGCTCAGCTCTTGCGTTTCTTCTGCAGAGACCACAGAAGACAATTTTTTGTTTTATCAGAACAGGGACTAAAAGACATCCTGGTTCATGGCAAGTCATTGACAGAGCAGGTTTTTCCACTTGCTTTACTCTCTGGATATCAGGGGGCAAAGCAGCAAAACTGGTGCAAGGGTCCTAGTTTGTGCTGGTTTAAAGGCAAATTCAGTACCTCAGTGAATAGAAAGAAAGGTGGTGCTTTTTGTGGGGATGAGCGTACATCTGGGAAGGGAGTTGTAGTTTGTTTGCAGAAACAATGGCCTTTAGACAGCCTCACTTCACCCAGACAGCAGCTCTGCTAAAATGAACAGCTGAACATGCAATATTAAAGATGGTATTAAGCTATTAGAGAGCATCCAAAGGAGGGCAATGAAGATGGCAAAGTGGAGCCATGTGAGGAGCAGCTGAGGGCAGTTCTTCTCTTTAGCCTGGAAAAGAGGAGGCTGAGGGGAGACTCACTGGGGTCAACAACGTTCTCTGAGGGGAAGAGGAGGGCCCAGACTCTGATCTCTTTCTGTGATCTCTTTCTAGAACCCAAGGGGAAGGCTGAAGTTGTGTCAGGGGAGGTTTAGGGTGGATGTTAGAAAGAGATTCTTCCCCCAGAGAGTGGTCAGGCACTGAAACAGGCTCTCCAGGGAAGCAGCCAAAGCACCAAATCTGCCAGAGCTCCAGGAGATTTTGGAAAACGCTCTCAGGCACAGGGTGTGATGCTTGGGGATGCCCTCTGTGAGGCCTGGAGCTGGACTTGGTGATCCTCGTGGGTCCCTTCCCACTCAGCACGCTCTGTGATTCTGCGTTTCTTTCCCTAAATAAATGTTGTGCAAAAGTGTTTTCCTCCTTCTTGAAAAACCAAAGAAAATCCATCCCAGAGGCTGGGTTACTGAAGGCCCTTAGCCACTTCCCCTAGAGCCATTTATCAGTGCCTGAATTCCCTTTTTTTTCTGTAAATCAACTATGGCCAAGATGAGATGGATTTCTGCAAAATTTTTTGAAACCCCATTCAGTGTTCCTAATGTAACCAAGAGTAATGTTATTTAAGTAACATTAGTCATTTGAAGTAGAGATAAATTTTCAGCTGCAGAGAGATCTAAATGTATAGTTAAGGTGTTAAAGGAAACCTCAGTCTTAGCAACTGAAATTAAATTGTGGAGGAGGCATTTCTACCCTAGAGTTGGGATTTTCAGTCTTCTGGGTTTGCTTTTATTAAATCATGAAATACATTTCTGGGGGTTTAAAATATCCCATTGCAAAGTCAGTGCCACTAAAGAAATGAAATAATGGCTTTCCCCCAGGAACAAAGAGATAACAAGAAATACAAAATGAATAATTTATCATTAAACCACCATTTTTTGTGCAATGCCTTGTGGTGTGGCAATAGCATTCGAATTAAAGAAGTTAATTTTTCTGAAGGAAAGACTATCATGTTGCTAAAAATGCTGTCTTGCTTTTGTTTGGGTAACACTGCCTGAATTAAGGCAGTCTTCTTCATATAGTAAATAAAGTCTTACAGTGAACCATATAACAACATATGTGTGTGCTGTGGGTTTTTGGTTATTATTGTACAGAAAGTCAGAATGGATGTCCATCAGGCTGACACCCTGGGGACAGTTTGTCTCCCTGGAGCAGGTGTATTAGAGACAAATTTTTAGCATGAAAACAGGTTCTGGAGCTGAAGATCCAGCATTGTTTCCAAGCACTGGTTCCTTGGGCCCAATGTGCTATTGCATGCTCTTGGCAGCTGGGACAGACAAATCACTTTTAATGGATAATATATTGGACTGTGTTCTTAAAATAGTTGGTACTTTCTGGATTACTCAGTTCTCCAGGATGTCCTTGATTGATGAGGAATGTCAGCCACTTTCATTCTGAAAATGAGTCTTTCTTAGACCATTAAAAAGCACTAATTGCTTTGTCAACTTAAGCTCTTTTTGACTTATAAAAGCTTGTAAGAAAAGGCAAGAAAAGAAAACTTGCATGATGTTAGTCATACAATAGCCCCCCAAAGACATAAGTTTTCCTTAATTTGGTATTTTGGTATATGGCATGGGATCACAAGCACATTAATTATTAATGGAGGTAGATATAGTGAATATTCTATTGGTCTCTCTATCTTACATTTACATAAGCTTTCATTGAATTTTGCTTTACTAACAACCATTCTGCAAGTCAATTTCTTTGATAAAGGATTGTGCTTTAAACATGACACCATTAAACACCATCTGTCTGTTGCAGGTGATCTGTGCAAAATGCTCTGAGTTCAAGCCTCTTGCAGATAACAGCCGCCATAACCGCGTGTGTAAAGAGTGTTTCCTGCAGCTCCCAGTAAGCCCCTGCAGCCCTGGCGTGGAAGCAGCTGGGGAACAGAAGAAAAGACTAGCTGCAGAGGTACAGTCTTTGGCTAAGAAACCTTGTAGACTCTCTCTTTTTTTAGTGTATTTAGTAAAAGCTGATCAAATTAGTTTTCTTTTCTGCCCCACCATGGTATTTAATCCTCTGACCTATAAATCTTACTGATCACGCTTGCAGCCTGGATGCTGTTTGTAGATGGTAAGCATTCATCATAGCATGCTGATCACACATGGATGCATACAGGTTTGACAGCTAAGCTTCAGCTTCCGAACTTACAAAAAAAAGGAAGACCCTCTGACTTCTTTTTATTATGGTGTATTTCCAGTCTTGAGCAGTGCATAGTAACTTTTCAAAAAATGAGATCTGTTTTTTCACTTTTAATTCCACATAGCAACTCTGTTTCTTGGGGGCTTTGACAGTTTTGTACCTAAACACGTCCAAGATCTCAGCAATAGGGTGGGGTAAAGCCACAGGTCCCCCTTGGCCTGAGCTGCCGGGTCTGCAGAGCACAGTAAAGTTCTGGATCTGGAAGCTGACCCCATCAAAACCCTCAGATATGGTATCAGATATTGCCCTCTGAGGCAGGAGGGTGGAATGAGATGGTCTTTACAGTCCCCTCTGACCCCAGGCATTCTGTGATTCTGTGATATATGCTCCAGCTGTGACTCCAGATTGTGAGCTCTTTATGGGTGCCAATACAGTCTGTGATATCTCATGACAAACTTTGCAGCACTATTTCAGTGCAAACCTGCACCTACACAGGAAGAGAGAGCCCTGTTGAACTGAAAAGCTGAGAGGCAAACCAATGAAATGGGACCCATGGCTTTACTTCAGAAAGCAGATTACAACAAAATGCTGTAAAAACCCAAAAACCCATTTTTTCCCTCCTCTACTCAGGCTGCTAGTTTTTTTGCTAAATCCTCAAAGGATGAGGTAAAATGCAAGAAAGCCAGTATATATAAAAAAAAAAGATCAGTCAGGCTTTTTCTTTCCCTTCTATTTACATTAAACTTTCTTAACAAGCTCAGTAGAATCTGAAGAGATTGCCACTTAACAAATGTTATTAGCAGCTGCCAGAAATCTTTGGAAGGCTTCTGTGCAAATCCTAATGCAAATAGGAATTTTGATTTTCTTTGCTTTCTATGAGAGCACAACAATTTCTTCCATTTTTTTTTTTTTGCAGTCTGATTTGGCTCCACCATGCACAAGAGGTTCTGTTAATAAACCCTTTGCATTAATTTGAAGTCATCTCCCAGCCTACTTAGCTAAGCAAGAAATGAGGCGCATCATCTTAATTACCATTTTCAGTTTACTGGGTGGAGGTTGAATTTAGCTTCATGTCTGCTGGGAATGGTGGTTCTGCCTCTGTTACATGGAATTATGCTATTTCTTAATTGTATATAATAATTATTAATTTCTTATTTGGTTTTGGCCTACCCAACATTTGCCCTCAAGTGTTATTTGACTCTGCACCACTAGAGTATTTTATATTTAAGTATTTTGCACACTTAAACATAAATGGAAACAGCTCTGTTTTATTTTTTCCCCCATCATCCAGAAGCAAAGCATCCTTGTGGCTGAAAACAGCCTCTTCAGCAGCTACCTCCAGTTCCTTGAAAAAGGGAAGACTTGGAACAAAATGTGGGTGACCATCCCCAAGAGTGAACCTCTTGTTCTGTATCTGCAAGGAAGCAGCCAGGTGAGATGGCAATTATGAGGGCTAACACACAGAAAAAGAAAAGCATAAGTTTAAACATGTCAAGCTGAGAAATGGGTCAAAGGATTTGGCTTGGTTTCAGCAACAAAACTGAATTTCCTATTCTGGATAGCACAAAGCCTCAGAGATTTTAGGTTACACCTTGTTATCTGTACTTACTGCTGATACCATTGTGAGCAAATATTAAAGCTCATTGCTTTTTCATTTATTTTTTTTTAAAGAGGACAAAAGAAGGATAATTAGGTTATGCTTTAGTTTTTTTAAGGTTTTATACAGGTGTAGTCAATGGTTATATTAAGCTGTCATTAGGGAAAGCACGTTCCTGTTAAATATATAGAGCTGCAAAGGAGGCTGGATATTGCAATTGCTGGAACTGCTGGTTCAAGCTTTTTTTTTTTTAACCTAGTTCTGGATTGATGAGATAGAGGAATTTGTGAAAATGTAGATGTTCTTCGGCCTGAAAAATTATAAAGCTCCTTGTCATAGCATCATAGGGTTTTTATCTTTAATTGAAATACTTACATTTATAAAGGTTTTTTGTCTCTAAATGTACTGTTGAAGCTAACTAGCATTTGTGTGTGATGAAAATCAAGGGATAGAAACATCTATATCTAAACCAGAAATATCTCTCATGCTTCCTTAGCACTGAAGAACAACAATGCTGAAAGGAGATTCCCCATATCCAGTTTTGCATTTGGCATTTGACACATTTATACACAGCTTTGTTTTATCTCCTGTGTGGGATGGAAGTAGTAATGGAACTGAATTCAGCCAGCAATTACCTTGCTGTAGTTGTAGCAATAAAAAGGTTTTCTTTTTATTAGCATCTGTTTGTGGCTAGGATCAGTCAAGGAAATAAATTTTCCCTGTGATTTTATAAAGCATTTCAGAGTAAAGCTCACTCTTTATGTGATTGACAAATACTACACTGTCGCAGACATTTTTTCATAGAAATCCTTTCTTTGGGATTTGTCCATCTTCTGGGAAGCAGAGCCCCAGAAGAAGAATGTAAACAATTGTTATCAGTGCTGTGAAATGGAGCAGGTGTCCCTGTGATTGGCTCATCTTCCATGTGTACCATTAAAGGCCAATCACAGGAGCAGCTCAGGGACAGATTCCCTGGACACAGAACTTTGTTATTCATTCTTTCTATTCTATTCTTAGCTTAGCAGCTCTCTGCAACTTCTCTTCTTATTCTTTTTAGTATAGTTATAATGTATTATATATCTTATATCAATAAATCAAGCCTTCTGATCAAGAAACAAGATTCTCGTCCTTCTCTCACCACAGTGACCGTCTAAGGTCGCTGTAATACTACACCTTGTCGTTAGAGCTGTGTTCATTTTGCAGCCTGTCAGCAGGAGCACCTCTGGCTTTTAGAAAGTTTGTGTAATGTTTGAAACATGGTGCTCCAAAAGGCTGAAAGCTTGAATCTGGAGCTTCATGCCCCCTGGCTCCATCTGTGGTTCCAGCCCCACAATGGGTAAGCCTCCAATTTGTCCAGCAGCCAGCGTGGCTGAAATTATACTTTGGAAAAGCAAACAGCCTCAGACAAACAGCCTGGCTTTCTCTGGAGCCAGGGTCTGGAGAAAGGAACAATGCTTTCAAAAGCCAAGCAGAGAGAACAGCTTCACCCGCAGAACTTTTCAACTGATGCACAAGCTGTGCCTCAGCCAAGGGCCAGTGCAAGCCCTGCATCCACACAAAGCAAGCCAGATTGTCTCACACTTGGGCAAGGAGAGTGGGAATAGAGGGAGAGAAGTTTAAATTCTTTAGCCTTCCTCACACAGAAATGTGTGTCATCTAAGAGGTGGTGAGGGGAGAGGTTGGGAGGAAGCAACACCCCTTACACAGCATGATTGAGAATTTCTCTTACTGCCCAGCCGATTGTTGCACTACAGCACAAATAATAATCCATGGACATAAGTCACCTGCACTCAGTGCAAACTCAATGATGCTTGATTCTGCAGGCCCCACCTGACAGTCATGCAAAACCACAGATGGAAGCTGGGGGAACTTCTCTGTTTCAGTTGCTGTGTACTTTGTCCATGTCCTGCCAAATTTGATCTTGAGCCTCTGCTGATATTATTAGTAAGATTCTATTTTTTTAGGGAAAAAGGCTGCCTTTGGTACCGATTGTCAATTTTATGACAGTTAAATTTAGAGGTTAGTGTCCTCAACTATTTCAGGGGTGAGAGAATTCTCCCAATAAAGTATCAAGAAAGCAAAAGAACAAGGTTTATCTTACATTCCAAAACCAGCATTTACTGTCAGGAATGAGACTATAAACAAGAAGTTATTCCTTTCTTCAAGACCCTGCCATTCCCATTTGTATATTTCAATTTGCATCCAACTGCAAGAAAAAAATAGGAAGTTCTATTTCTTGATACTAATCCAACATTCTTCTTAATTCTAATTTACGCAGGATACACTAAAATTCTGAGGAAAATCTCTTCCAGAGCTTCATTACTGGTGTCTGAAAGTCTGGAATCAGTTGGGAGGCACTCATATGCTTAAATATTCTTTTCCCAGGCATAGTTCTTTTTTGCATAACCACCTCTGTGGATCTCACAGGCCTCTTTAGACCTGCAAAGAAGCATTTCAGTGCCTGAGATGTGTCTTTTGGAAATAATATTGCCAACAATACTATTAAACTCTTGAAACATAGAGTAAAGCATGACTGTAGAAGTTTGAAAGTCAGGGGATTATTGTTAAGAAGAACAGAAAAAATAGAGAATAGCTGCCTCTTGAGAAGAAGGAGCAAACCAAGCTGAATCTGGAGCTTCGAATACAGTGAAAGCTTCTTCCTCTGCGCCCCTGGCCCTCATGCCAAAGAAGGGATGCTAATGCAGGTAGAAACCTGACTCACAGATTTAAAATAGCAAGAAAACTGCTCTTTTTACTCTTTTGTTCCAGGAGAATGATTAATCTCCTGAGTGTTCACCGTTCAAGTCTTGCAAAAGACTTCACGCATCAGGTTTCCCAGTTTATTTAGGTTTGGGAATCATACGAATTTGATTTGTCCTCAAATGGCGTCACAATTTGTACAGCTGTTTGTCGTGCTCATCTCAGTGAAATTATAAGAGTTTACTTATAAGCAAAGGCCACTTCAAGTGTAAGGAGCATCAGTTTTAAGATAAATTAGTCTTTTCAAGGGCTCCACCTGGACCATGTGCCCCCGTTGGCGTTGTAAAATGCACAGCTATTTGCAAAGCTCTGACATGAACTTACCTGAGTGAGATGTGCAAAGGCTTCCAGGATAGCTGGAAAAGTAATGGATTTTGAAGAAATATGAAGAGTAAAACTAGTATAGCTAGAGCTGTACTAGTACATTAGCTATATTTATGTATATATCAGATATATAGCTATATTTATATATCTCTTAGATCAGGCTTGATCCAAGAGAAAATTTTGCTTTATAAAGAAGAGAAATTTTCCATTCATCATGTAAATGTGATTTACTTTTAGAAAATAAGGGAGTAGCTAAGTTTGAAATTGACCTCAGAGTTTTTGAGAAGTTTGGGGGTTTTTTGCTTGCCTGTTGATCCTGTTTAGTAGAAGCTTTACCTTGCCCTACACTAAACTCTGCTTGCCCTTTTTTGGTTCTGAAGATTACAGGAGTCTCTCGATGACTTGTGTAAGGTTGGGGCTTGATCATGAGTGGATAAAGAGTAGAGTTTGGGTAGAAAAAACATGGATTTTCTAAGCCCACTTGGAAGTAGGAGGTGGATAATGCCATTGGTGGGTCATTGTTGTCCAAAGGGCTTATACACTGCAAAGAACTGTGCAGTGCCAGAGGTGTGTTTGTATGCAGGGGTGCCTGAAACAGAACTGCCTGTCTGATGGCACTGAGTATTCTGTTCCCAAATCTTAAACCCTGGATGCTGCAATGGCTGTAACAAAACAATAAATACATGCTGCTCTAATAACCTAGGTAAATAACCCATTTGTGTTGTGCCACTGAGAGCCAGGATGAGTGCACAGTGCATGTGATTGCTGACAGTATTATACATCCACTAAATTTTTATCTATCACTCACACTACCTGAGGAAAAATATTGTAATCAGCCCTAAAGTGAAGCTCTTTCAGCACTGGGTATTTTGATTTGATGAAATACCGGTATCTTGCAGTTGTACTATGTTGCACACAGAAATATTTTTTTTAAATACAGTCCCACCAGCTAAACCCTGTAGGCTCTTAAAACGAAAACATGAATTTCATCTCTCTTATAAGGCCTGTAAATCCTACTTACATACTCAATATAAGGGTGGAATTCCTCATGGGTGCATAATAGCTGCTGGATTTTCTGGGCTTCAGGTAGGAGGGAAGGGCTCAGCGGCAAAGGACATGCACGGGTGCTGCCGGTCCCAAAGAGAAGTCTGGATTGGGGCTGGGGTGTTCCTCAAGGCCAAGTGCTTCACCTTTACCTCTCAGTAGTACAGCTTTTCAGAGATAATGTAAATCCCTTCCTTTTGGATCAGGCAGGTACAGACAAAGTGTCAAGGGCAGCATATTAAGGGAGGATGCAAGACCAAAGGCAGACTGCTTAATTTGCCTGTGTCTGCACATGTTGGGTAGGTGCAACACATACAATTCAAACATCAATTTGCTCCTACAGTGCACTTTGTGGCTACAAATAATATCATTTGTCATTGTCATGGGCAACCTACAATTTTCCGTTTGACAAGTCTAAATGTCTGCTCTTCCAAACCAAGACTAGTGAAACAGGCATGGTTGAGCATGCATGTGCTCTTGTGCATTTGTGTTCATCAGTCTCATGTTTGCTTGCTTGAACAGTGCCACGTGTGCAGGAGCTGCTCTGTACATGCCAGTTCCTCTGCATGGGCAGGCAAGACCTTCCTGTTTTTAGGGATGTTGCTGTGGTTTCAGGGAATAGAAACTGTGCTGCATTTAGGACAACTAGTTACACTCAAATGGGAACTGAGTGTAACTTTAGTGTTTAGTCTAAAGCTGCCTTAAATCTTGTTGAACAGTGCTTGATCTTCAAGCAATTGGACTCTGGCATTTTTGCATGATAATAACAAGCAATAGATGAATAAATCAAGAAGCCTGTATTGATAAACTCTATTAATTAACTGTGATACATTTTTTACTGTATTTCTTGCCAATTTAGTTCATGTGTCTGCATTAATGTGAGCAGTTTTGATACTTTAATTATTTTAGACAAAGTGTGGAAAAAGTAGGCAACTTTTTTGACCATTGTTCTCAGAGTTTTGGTCCTCTTCCAGATTTACCAAGTCATTTGCATTTGGTGTGGGCTGACAAAAGAATGACTTTGCCACTTCTCTGTGGGATGCTTTGTCAGCTTTTGTATGGGGCTGCAACAGAAGCAGCTGCTACAGAAGGTGGTAGCTTTGTACAGATGCTTGATGCCTATGTGATTCAGACTTCAGTTTGGGGACTTATCTTTAGAAACACTTTGCTGGGAGCAGTTGAAGAGGTTGCTTGGCCATGGCACACCTTGCCTTGCTAAAATATGTCTTTCTTGAGAGATTAGGAAAGGAGTTGGTTGATGCTCAAGATGTGACTGTTAGAGAGCTGTATTGCTCCTTAGATCTGTAAGTCAGTCTGGCTTTGAAAGCATGGTCAAGAATTTGAGTACTGGCTTTCTTGATATCTCCCAAAAGCATCATAAATTACTGAAAATCAAAAATTGTCTTTTCTGTCAAAGACTTTTCCCTTGCCCTTTAGTTGCCTTGGTATCTTGCAGGGTCCAGCTTTGCTTAATTGCTTCCTTTGAACCAATCCTACAAAATATCCCATGATGTTCAAAAGGGACAACATCAAACTCTTCTAGGCTGGCTCCCGTTGCCTTTACCTAATGCAGAGGAAGTTTTGTAAAAGGCACACACATAAGTTACATGAAATTACATGAAAATCCCTGGCCATATTTACTATGAAAGGAAATCAGTGAAGTAAGAATAAAGCACCACTAAGTCATTGCTTTTTGCTGGTTTAAGCTGAGCAGTCGGTATTGCCTTGTCCCGCTTCCTTCATTGCGGCGCTGAACGAGGAGCTGGGACTGCGTCTGTGTGCTTCCTGCAGTGTGTGCCTGCTGGCTCCATGCACTGTACCCCCTCCCACCTCAAACTGCATTTCGTCCTGAACCCTTACATTTGTTTTCTCTCCTTTAGGATGGACGAAGCCCACGTCCAATCCCTCTGCCTGGCTATGAAGTCAGTTTACCAGGTTCTGGTGAGAAGTTTGATCTGAAGCATGTTTTTAAGCTTTGCCAGTCCCATCAAACTCTCTATTTCAGTGCAGAAGATGAAGAGCTGCAAATGAAATGGATGGAAATTCTCACCAAAGCTGCCAAAGGAGAGACTGAGGATACAGTTGAAGGGCTCAGCAACCCATAGAGCAAGTTTCATTTAGTTTCTTTCCTACATGCTATAAACCATCACTTGAATTTGGTATTCATGGCACTTTGGAATCTATATGGCTTTATATTTTCATGTGTCTGCATAGGAAGTTCAGTGGTTTTTCACCTTTTATTGTACATTTTCAAGTACAGTAGTTACCTGCCATATGTTATGTTAAAGAAAGAAGTAGTTATAGTTGTTGGTGGTGTCAATGCTGGTTTTAAAACAAAAGGCAAGGAGCAAAGCATTAATTTTAACAAAGGTAATGGAAAATCATAAGTCTTGTTTTCCTAAATGTATATTTTCCAGTCCTTTTGATTGCTGTTGAGTGCAGGATGTGTATATTCTGTGATTAGTTCTATAAATGCTGCCTTTTAAGTTAAATGTTGTAAAGGCTTGTGCTGGCCACTGACATTCCATTCTCTGCCTCACCCTCCCGGTAAGGTCTTTGTGATGTGTGAGCAATGTACTGAGTATTTTCCTGTTGCTAAAACCATGTCTCTGCTGTTTTGAGATGAGCTGTTCAAATGACAAATAGTGTAGAAGGGACTTCTAAAAATGACTTCAAGTGGTGCAGAACGGAACATTAAGAAGTCTCATTGATTTTAAGCATTTATTATATTGATTGCTTTCTTCTGGAAACAATACCTTCCTTCCTTCTATTGGAACCCATTTTGATGTAAGTGAACAAACATTTTATACTGCAAACTGGGTTATGATCAATAAACAAAAACATTTTTAGTACATACCATACAAAAAAGTGACTTTTTTGTTGTATTGGTTAATTTAAGTGGCCAAGATTTTATTTATATAATTTGTAAATAATGTTTCATAAGTATTTTAAGAATTTTTAAAAGACCTCAGCTAATTAACAGGATTTATTACATAGTGTAAGAGATATTTGTATGAACTGAATTTGTAATTTAATTTCCTGTTCACCTGTTTTTGTCTTATTTTCAAACATAAATGCTTATCTATTTAAATAAAAATTCCTGCAGTTAACTCCTGAGCCAGATTTCCTAGGCACAGCAAAGTTTAGGTCAACATTTAATATAGGTTAAAAAAAATTATAAAAGTCTAAAACAAACCAAAAAAAAAAGCATGTTTGTTCCTAGTCGTAGTAAGCATGTAGTATCGATCAAAATGAAATAAAATCTGTCACAGTACTGTATTTTTTAATGGTTTGGTTTAACTTTTGTTTCCTCTTCAGCCTTCTACATTTTCTGATACTGATAGAGAGGAATAAATGCTCCATACAGACAGAGTTTTTTAGGATTGTTGAAAATTAGTGATCTGCATCAGTGAGTATTTTTCAGACCTACAGAAAAGGACTTATCCTTGTTTGGGGTTTGGTTTATTTTTTACATTGGTGAATAAATCATATATCTGAAGTCCATGATGATAAAAAATTATAAGCCATGTATTTGATTATCTACTGGAAAATTTTCTTGAGACTTTCATGTTTCTTCCCTATCCACCCTCTCCCAACAGTCTACACAGAAAAGATGTCTTGCAGAGTAGTTTTTACCATGAAAAGGAATTTTTTCCAGTGTGTGTTATTTCTTCTCCCAGGCTTCCTTGAAAAAGTAATGATGTAGAGTGCTTGAAAATTTACTCTTTTAGAAACATTTCTGGTTTGGAGGTGGGCTTTTTGTTTGTTTATTTACAATGTACTAGCATTCTCTCATTCTATGATTTTAAGCAAATCAAGGGAAATGTGCATAGTGAGTACATTAACAAAGCAACATGCAGCAATGCAAGAGCAAAGCACCCTCAGAGAACAGCCCTAGGCTACAGAATGCTGTTGTAGGAGAGTCTCTCTTGGTTGGCATGGACTGACTAGCACAAGGCCCCAGAATACAGTGCTGCTATGAAACCACAATCAAGCTCTGAGAAATCACCACACATCTCTGAAGACTTGTCCTAAATTTGCAGCAGGATCTAATATCATCCAGATCAAAGGCTGGAGGGGTAGGACCTTTGTTTCATTCTCCTTCCTCATCTTCTCTCCTTTGGAAGGAAGTCGGAACTCCCAGAGCTGAAGAAATATGTGTTGCTGACAGTATTTGTCATAAAAGCTGTAAGCTTTAGACTTTCCTTTGTCATAAAAGCTGTGCTGCTTAGCTCAGCCTGCCTCTGTGCAGAGGGTTAGCACAGGGATTAAGCATCCCATAAATACTACATATGCCTTCGTATTAGTGCATAAATAAGATTTAAGCTGCTAATAGCCCCTTTCTAGCTCTGTATAGAGCTGAATTATATATGCTGGCCATGATAAGACCTGAGAAAAAAAAATTAAATGTGGCTGCAGCAGTTAAGTTCAACAAGGGGACTGAATTTTGATTAAGTGGGGATTAAAAGCACAATACTCATAGCTGTGGTGTCCTGACATCAGCACATTTCACAAAAGAGGCCAAAATCTCACAATAAGCTAAGAACCTTCTCTGTGCATGAGGGATGTGGCCTCTGGAGCTGCACCAACAAATCTTCTGCACTTTGCTGCTTGCGACCCTGAAGTAAAACCCACCAGGTCTTTCTGACTCTGCGTGTCAGGTCAAGGCACTGGACCCTACCTGCCAGACAGACACAACATTCTTGCTCTGAGCATGGCTGGTGCAGAATTAAACCAAGCTGTGGGGCTCTGGGCTTTTAGGCACTGCAGGATGCCAAAGTTCTGCTGTGTTTGGGAGCTAAACCTCACAAATCTTGAGAGAGCTTTCTTGGTCCTTCCTGTCAACAGCTGGATAAACCTTTCCTTTGCTTCTCCAGGAGCTGCTGTCTCTCTCCAAGGTGCCCATCATCTCTTGCCTGAATTAAACTCATGTCTGTAATTTTTTTTTCTGTAAATTGGCAATCACAGATAAAGGGTTTGAACAGCCCTGGATTTCTTTCAGGAAGATTTCATTAACAAATCAATTAGCTGTATTTATTCTCATTCCCACAAATTTTTCATTCTGAGTGTTTATTTATTAATTTTCCTATTAAAATGTGGCATTATGCCTTCAGAAAGAAGAGCTGGTAAAGGCAAAAATACAAAGAACTGGCAAGAGAAAAAGGCAGTGACAGAGCAGACAGACGGGGCCATTATCCAATTATTTTTAGTTTCCTGGAGGTGGGATGCATGTTGGTGAGTGGTCTTATTTTGTAGGTGGTGAGAAAGTGAAGTGATCAGGATGAGGAATGACATTGAACTACAACTCTGAGAAACACAGCATTCCAGAAATTATCTGGATCCAGTTGATTCACCTACATCATCTCCACCTACATTTGAGCCTTTGGTACTGTACAAGCAATCCTGAGCTCCACCGCTGTCATCTTTGAGCTTGGACGAGACTCACTGTCAACATCAAGACTACAAAAAATCAAACCAGTCAGTTTAGAGGTTTTATTTGAAATCAATGTCTCCATTCAAAATGATGAAGAAGGAAGTTGGGGTTTTGCTAAATGATGTGTGGCCTTTTAGTATCTCTGGCCCCAGATTGCTCATGGGTATCTAAAGTATCAGGGGTATTGTATCCAGGGTCCATCAGGGGCAAAGTCAGCATGGACAAATCTACTAAGAACCAGGAAAACTGGGAAATCTGCTGTGTCTGCTGCAGACCGTCAGCACCAGGGAATCTGGGCCAGGTTTTCACAGAGGCAAATGGGACTGATCCATTCAGATGGACTATTTATTATTTGCCTTAATCTCTTATAAAAGGCTAGATTTCAGTGTGCTCATTTGGTTTACTCAGCTTCCAGCCTCTGTTGGCTGTGATGGGTTGCACAGGGTTCATTGACTGAGGGTTCAGGAGAACTAGTGCCACCATATCAATGCCTGGTTGTGATCAAGTAAGGGTTTTTGCTCAATCATAGAATCACAGCATCGTATGGATTGGAAGGGACTTTGAGATCATCTTGTACCACCTCCTACCGTGGGCAGGGACGTCTTCTACTATCCCAGGGTGTTCCAAGCCCCAGTGCCCAACCTGGCCTTGGACTCTCACAGGGATGGGGCAGCCACAGATTCTCTGGGCATCCTGTGCCTGGGCCTCAACACCCTCACAGGGAAGAATTAATTTATTTCTTAAATCTGAACGCCATGAGTCCTCACGAGGTGAGCACAATCATATACATGTCTGTAAAACTGCTTCTAAAGGTGATGCAAGGGAGGGAATCCCAGATGTTTTGTTTTCATGGAATTCCTTGTCACTGACAGATGCTCACAGCTTCTTGAGAGAGAAAGATGACAAAGCTGTGAGTTTCTTGTTTTTTGCTGAAGCTGCTCAGAGAGATAAAATACAGTAGAGCAGTGAAAATGGGGGATATGTTTTTATGTCCATTATAAGCATCTTCAGAGACGGAACAAAGTAGTCACTGTGTGCTGGAGCACACCGAGACTGTGTGTATGTCCTTCTCCAACACTGATGTGGAGATGAGGCTTGTGGATTTGGGAGGTGAGCACCTGTACCTGCGCAGAGCACACGGCTTAGCCAGGTGAGGAACCTGTCTCCAAAGCAGATGTGAAGGAACATGTGTGACTGCCAGCTGCCTGATGCTCAAAGATATCCCAAGCTAGAGATGGCCTGGCTTTTAATAACCCCGTAGAGGATTTTTGACCTAGAACTTAGCCAACGATATTTTTCACTGTATTTTTTTTTTTTTTTAATATCCACAATATCTTGTGTCAAAGAATTCTGTACCTAAACCCCACTTTGGCTAAAAAGCTTCTTCCCTTTTTTGAAGCTGTAGTGCTGGCACCTTCCAAGTCTGGCCTGGGAAGCAGCACTGAACAGCTTCCCTGTAACCTTCCTCAGGACCCTGAGGTTGCACAGAACTCTCCTGGGTCTTCTCAGGTATCTCTTTCTGTAACTAAAGAGTCTGTTTCTTTGTTCCTTGCTGGGTAGCTCTGATCACATTTGTTTCCCCTCCTTGAGTCTCTTTCCTTTGGCCACACAGGACATGAGGTGGGTCAAGGGCAGATGCTGGGGCAGGGAATTTTTTTTCTCACATTTCTGTCCCAGACTGTTTATATCTGGGGCAAAGAATACTTGAATATTCTCTTTTTTCAGCATCTTGTGCCATTTTGACTGTCTTGAACAATAGTGGTGTGCCAGGGCTTTGCTGGTGGGGAATACTTCCCTAGTTCAGTCCCTTAAGCCAGCTGGAAGAAGAAATATTAACCAATATCAGTTCAGTCTGTTTTGAAGTTGATGCTGGACATGTGTACGCATATCCTTCTATCACTGCCCTTTGCTAAATGAACAAACTAACAATGTTGCAGAGCATCTGTGCAATTACATTTGAATGCACCACTCAGAGACCTTGACAAATCCATTATGTGAATTGAAAAGTGCAAAAGGTTAAAATAAAAATTGCTTAATAGAATTGCAACAATATAGTATTTGCAGGGATCCCTGTGGCAGGGAGTACTCCATCTTATCATAAGGCTAATTAATTACTTTATAATACCATATTATTCTATATTATATTACACTATATTACATTACATCTAAACTGAATCTGCCAAGCACTCAACTGCACACAACTGCACACAACTGCACAGCATCTTGTGACTGTCAGCCAACAGTCCTGACACACACTCACTTGGCCCTGATAGGCCAAGGAAACAAAACATCACTTTGGGTAAACAATCTCCATATTGCATTCTGCCTTTACACAAACACAGGCACAGCAAATGAGATAAAAATTATTTTTCCTTTCTCTGAGGTTCAGAGAATGTGAAACCCAGAAATATGCTTGGGAAGAATTGTGCCTTGCTTTTGTCTGTGAAGAGAAATGTGGCAACACACCAATCCATTTAAAATTTCATGGAAGAAATGGAGAGCTGTGAAAAGTACTGAGCATCCACCATAAAATAAAAGAAATCTTTATTTGTTAGAATGGACACTGGTTAGCTCCTTGGCTGGTGTAAATGGATGGATTTAGTAACAGCTCTCTGTTAAATTAGCTGAGGATCCAACCATATAGTTTTGTTTTATTTTTAAGCATTTCTGCTTCCTACCAAGATTGAGATAGTCAGCGATTTACAGCACAGCTTTTGCTGTCCATAGATGCACAAGAAACTTGAGCCAGGATGTCTGTTCCACATTTGGAGACCCAGCAGGTTTTCATTGGTCTTGGCTTGCAAATAGTTAATGTTCTCTCTCTACGGTGAATTTCCCGCCATTT